TGCCTCCATATCCCCACTTCTAATTCTCTAGACAAATATACATAGGACCCATTACAAACATAATGTTGGGTTCATTTCTTATTAACTCCTCTCTAATAAAGTAAATTGCACTCATATCATCCCAAACTTCGCGACTAAGTTTTCTTTTAATTTTTTATATAGAAAAAGAAAAATAACAATTCAGAGGCATCTATTTTGACCATATCCAAATATTTGAATTAGAATCATAAATGAGTGTGATTATTCAAACGAACTCGATGAAAGAGTGTGTAACATTACATGTTTGGAATATCATAAAAAGATTCCAGCCCAAGTAGCAAGACCCAAGCCCAATCCCTAGAGGGGTGGGCCCAACTTGAGCTTGAGTGGTGCTGCTTTAGTTGTTTCAACTGCCAACCGTCTCTCATTCGTTTTCCCACCTAAACCTAACTAGAAGGATTTATGAGGGGGAAGGATATGGATAGCGTAGTGAAGTAGTTCAAATCTCATTATATTATTATTAGACATTACTCACCAAATGTCCTTTCAAATCTCATTATATTAATGTTCTGGTTCAAAATCTTACATCAAAATATTGAAGAAACAAGACACAAATTTCCCCAAAGTGCGCCCCACCACGAGCGACAGAAGCTATGCCTGACATAACAGGCCCCATCAGGATGTGTCCCCGCTCATCACGGGCCAGGCCACCCCAACCCCACCTTGGCCCCTTCATCAGCGTTTGTCCCGGTGTTTTCTTCCCTAACCTACATGTTCTGATTTGATATCAATGGTGGGGTCTCTAAGTCTATTCTCTTCTTCTATTTACAACAAGGAAAAAAAATTAAAAGAAAAATTATTTATGTTATACAACAAACAAAGCATAGCCACCGACACACGATATCAGTAGTAGATGTTAATCTTGTGGTTAAGACTCCTTAATGTTGGTCAAATAAAAGGTTGGGAGAATTAAAAAGAAATCGAATAATCTATTTTTGATGGATTTTAGTGATTTTCATAGTAGTGTTTAGCTTTTTTTTAATGCTTAATTCTTTTAATTTTCGTGACCAGTAAGATCAAGAAAAATAGGGAGAATCTAGGATGATATGCTTGTGTTTATAAGGAATTTTGAGAACTTTTTAACTACATATATATTAACATTAGAGCAACGGGGTGGCTTGGGCACAAGGAGGAAAACCTAAGGCTTTGAATTTTGAGTGCTTTAGACTCTTTTTTTGTCATGTATTAAATCCCTTAGAACCTTTTTTTTTTTTTTGTCTTTCTCGAAGATAAGAAAACCCTTAGAATGTTGGTGAAATCAAAAGTAGAGAGAAAATGTTAGCACACTTCATGGAGTTTCAAATGCTAAGTGAGTGTAAGATTTCGACACGTATCTGATACGAACATGATAAATTTAAAGAAGTATCAGTTTGTTTGTGGATGCTCTATTTTCAATAAATTTACTAGTTTCACAATGGCATTTAACTTTTTCTTATGTTCAATTCTATTGATTTCGTGAAAAGTAAGATCATTTGAAGCAGAGAATATGATAACATATTAACATGGACCTAGGAGGATATGACTGTGTTCATAAGGAATTATGGGAACATTTTAAGTGCATATTTATCAACACTACAGAAAGGGGAGGCTTGGGGAGAAGGGAGATGCTAGTAAAGTCACCCATCTTTTAGGTTAAAGTAGCATTTAAAAATCGGAAGAAACGAACCTTCCTTCCATATATAACCAATCCAAAGGATAACAACATCAGTTCAAATGCGTGACCATGAGTATCTTTTGCAGGCAGTAAAGGGGGAAAAGCTACATAGATATTTTCTGGGTTTTTTTTCTCTCTTTTTCTCTTTTCCTTTAAACAGATATCATACTTATCCATCTGTACCCTATGATGTCAAAAGCAACATACAACCGAATTGGATATTGGCAACAAAAATTTCCACTATGCCTGAATCTGCATCCAAGCACAGATCATACGCCAAACAGTCTGTGATTGGTAGAAACCACATAGGATTTATTTGGCTCTATTTACAGATGCACAACAGGGGATTAATAAGATCAGATCTTAGAGCCAGTGTCAAGGATTATTAAAACTCTTAATCATTATTGGGTAGACTAAGCTGACACCATTTTCTCTCACTTTTTCCCCAACTTTATATCTCTCTGCTGCATAAATGCACATCTCCTTTAGACCAACTTGACCCCTTCAAACACTACAACTGCTGCTTAGGCAATAGCCCTTCTCTCTCTCTCTCTCTCTCTCTCTCAAAAATACAGAGCTGGGCATGTCACCTTTTCTTATGCACATAATTGGAAGAAAATTTCTGGTCCTTTTGGCTCTTCTGGGTTCTTGACAAAGATGATGACTATGCAAAGTTACTCTTAGCTCCAGATTTCAGTCAAGATAGGTTCTTTTCTGCTTGGTTTTGGTTCCAAAGGTCCAAAGGAGGGAAATTTCTATCCTGCTAAAGAGGACCATTTCTGATTAAGAAGCTGAGAATCGTTGAGCAGCCAAAAAAGGGTCTCTGATTCGGATAACAGCCACTCTCATATACAAATAAAGATATGCTCTTTCTGTGTCCCTTTCTAGCTGGAATCTTCACAACAATTCTGTAACCTAAACGACCTACAAGTACCACCTTTCTGTTCTTCACACCAGAAAAGAACGACTCTGCAACCAAAGAGCCCTTCGCTTTCTCTGTTTTTTTCCATTCATTTTCTTTAACTTCCATCTCATCAAGCAAGCTGCTAAAAATCCACCAGAAATATGCATCGACATCTATTCGGCACGGAGCCAAATACGGCGCCGTCCTTTGCGAACAGGACAGCAGATTCATACATTAGCGAGGCCAACTTTGACACCAACATGGTGATCATATTGGCAGCCCTGTTATGTGCTCTGATATGTGCACTTGGGCTCAACTCAATTGTCCGCTGTGCCATGCGCTGCAGCCACAGGTTTGCTTTGGAGACGCCGGAACAAGCAGCTGCAAGGTTGGCAGCCACAGGCCTGAAGAAGAGCCATTTGAGCCAGATCCCAATTGCCGTTTATGGCTCCGGCTTGGAAATTCCGGCCACAGAGTGCCCAATTTGCCTTGGAGAGTTTGAAGATGGAGAAAAAGTCAGGGTGCTGCCAGAATGCAATCACGGATTTCATGTGAGGTGCATAGATACATGGCTTTTGTCCCACTCGTCCTGCCCAAACTGTCGACATTCACTGCTTGAACAGCACCATCCCAAAAAGAGTACCAGGACTAATAGTCCCAGTACTGTTGATGCAAGCCAAAATCAAGAAGCTGCTGCTGCTGCAGTAGAGCCATCAAATTCAACCAATGAGCCCAACCAGCAAGGCCGAGTGGTCATAGTCATTGAGCAGGCAAATTAAATTAAACCTGCCAACAAAAAAAAGTCGAGAACTTTATGGTGGAGCTTCAAAAATTTACAAGGTAGAAATAGTTTAAGGTTGCAGTTGAGGAGAGGCCAAAGTAGCAATTAGCAAAATGCTGGGAGGTTTTTATTTTTAGTTTGTAATTTTGTACAGAGCATGATGAGATCACTTTGATGAAAATCGTCCTCTGGTGCACTTCTCTGATCAAATGTTTCAGTAAATCATCAAACACTTTTAGAAAGAACCAAGTTCTTTTCTTTTTCTTAAACTATAATTATGATGAAACTATAATTGTTTGATCATGTGGAGCTGGACCAGTTAAGGGTTAGGGTTAGTTTTCAAATGTGGTCCAGTTTTACAGCTAGAGGATGGAGAGTTGGAACAGACTTTATTCCCATCAGTGCTTGCTTATCTCAAACCCAACTGATCCACGACTAAAGTGGCTCTTTCTCTCTCACTCTCTGTCTCTCCCCTATTTTGTACTTAACCAAAACTTTTCCATCCGTACTGGGCCTGTATAGAAGAGGATCTACCTCTTCTACTTGGCGCTTCATTCTCTGAAGTAAATATCAAGACAAGTAGAGAATTCATTCCCTAAAAAGCTTAAAATGTGAGGTTTCGCACTAATTTTTATTGTCTTTTTCAACACAATTGGCAACAATTAATCAGTGCTGCATTAGAACACCGTAGTAACAAGAGCACACGATGGGCTATACTTAACATAACATGAGTGAATTAGTTATATCAAGTGGTTGTTATGCTTTTGGGTTGATTCAGGCCGTGAATATTGGTCCATGCAATATTAGTGTTGTAAATGGTGAAGTGAAAGAGACTCTCATACAACAACGGGAATAACACTTTTTGCTATCTTCGATCAATAGCTCAATGATATGCGAGATAATGTTTTTATGCGTCATCATTACATTATTAGCCAAAATAACAAAACAGTGCTATTCTTGTTAAAAGAGAGTTTTTCTAGTATAGTAGGCTGGTCCTCTCGAATTGCAATTTATGCCAAAGGAAAAAAAGGGTGGGAAAATGTCGACATTTTTGTAAGGGTTGTCAGCTCTTGTATTGTAAATTTTAATTGGTGTCACATAGCTAGCGAGGCTTGTATAAAGCCATTTCAATAGGCATCAATAAGAAGTGGACAAGGGACAACCCACAACGTGTCTCTGGGTCTCTTTAGTAAGTACTTCAGTACTTGTATCTAATCAAGAGCTTTCACTAATTGGACAGGTGGCTAATGGCAATGGATTTTAGCAGACCCATTGAACATCTATATGACAAGTCGGGGGGGTGCCAAGGGGAAGGGATGAAGTCACTTCTTTTTCATAGGGTTACATGGAGATGGAGGCAAGGCAACGCCTGGATATGGGGTGTAGATTTCTTTTTTGTACTAAGATATACGGATTAGATTTGTTAAGGTACACCAAATATCAATAAAATAGGATAAGATATGATGAGTCAATTAATGGGTACAATAATAAAGGAAATATATTAAAAGCAGTTCGAATGGACAAGAAATCAAAGCAAAGATAGCTTGTTTAAGTATTTTTAGGGTTTTCGACTTGTTTGAACATCTTTAGGGTTTTCGAAGTTTACTACGTACATAGCCTTTTCGAGTTGTACTTGTAACTGTAAGACTCTCTCATGCCCAGTGAATTCTAAAACGTGTTCGAGGGTGTAACGCTTTTTTTTCTTGATAACTTCGGCTGCCTCACTCCCTTAATTGATCCAAACAAGACAATTTCGTAGCTCAAACTCTCTTAAAGGGGTTTCTCTATGCCCTCAGAAGTTAGATCAGCGCACCCAACATCTGAAAATTTTGGTGCCTGATAGAGCCCAAGTTTATAAAATCCAGAACACTTGGGCCGAATTCACGGCATTAATGGCTTTTTGAAATAGTGGAAAAAGCCAATATCACGGCGCAACGGCTAGTAAGGTCCACACGACGCGAAGACAAATAGCAGATCCAGCTCTTCAACTGAACTCGTCTTCCACAATGCAAGCAGAGAAGCAGCAAGCATGGAAAATCAGCGTTCAAGCTAAAGCTAAGAACTTCCATTTCAAATTGAAAGCAACCCAAATCGCGCCCTCCACTTGGAAGCTCCATCGACTCTCTATTTCCCTCAAGCTCCGCAAGCTTTTTCTCGGAGTAAATGCAGAATCCACAGGGCATCAAAAAACGAAAAAGAACTCAGAATTTACATCATTATTAGTTCCTATGCAGCAGCAGAAACAAACCCTGAAATCCAAATTCCTTATATTTGTGAAGAAGTTTCGATTTCGCAGCACCAAAAAACCTCAACGGTTCTCGTATGAGGTAGTTCATATGTCATATCTTTCATTTATAAAGATCAAATCTTTTTCTTGTATAACTTTTTTTCTTTATGGGCAGGAATTAATTTCTGCGGGTAATTTGGTCAATGGAGGTCTCGCATTTCTACCTCAATCAATCACCAGAGTTTTGGTAATCTTGCTGCTTCTAATGGTTGCTGCCGCATTTGCCAGTCCAGCAGTGCTTGATTTGAACAATTATTTGAAGTATTGTGGAAAAATACGTGGGGCTTGGTCCAAACTCTTAACTTGATTTACCTGTTCGATATTCCCTGTCATGTTTTCTGGATTTGATTTGACATAATCTCTACAAGTTTTGATCTTTCGATATATCTTTTATTTCCTTTCTCAAGTTTTGCTTGGGCCAACATCATTTGGTGGAGGCTTGCATTGCATTGTATTGCACACTTCTGTTCTATAACATGGAGCCCAAATGAATGAGACATGGCCCAATTTAATCAGGCTCTGGATTGGAGCTTGAAATGTGCCATTTTCAAATTCATTAATCTTTCGTGCCTAAAAAGTAGATAATTCTTTCAACTAATATAATATATTTGAACCCTAGATATAAATTCACACAAATATGGTTTGAAATTTGAAACTTTAGGGCATGGTTGAAATTATTGAGTTGAGGTTTGATGGGCAAAGGGCAACCATAAAATGGATCACACTCTCCTTCTTCGCTACTTTATTATAGTTGAAGGGATTAAAGAGATGAACAGTGAAAAGTGTTAAAGAAGGAGGGTGGGGGGGCCATGGGGCGCACAAGGGCCCACGTAGGGGAAGTACTTCTCTCCAAGCGTGCAGGCGCGTGAAAAAAGCTTGCCTACAACAACAAATGCTAGTCCTACTGTACATTATCATAAGGACAAAGTATGTTGATGTCAGTGGGTCCCACGTGTCCTTTTCTAGGCCGCACGTCGACCGTCGATCTTCCCGCCACGAGCAGATCTGACGGGACAGCTTGCGAGTCAAAGATCTATCGAGATAGGTCTCTTTGACCCACACCGGAAACATGCCCTTCTTTTCTTATTTTTGTTTTTTTAAAAAACAAATATTATAATAATAATAATAAATTTCCAAACTTTGACTGGGATGTCACTTCAATCGAGGCGCGCTTCGTTGAAAATCGAGCTGCTCCCTTGAATTTACCATTTTGGTCATGCTTTCTGCCCCTCCCTCTTGTTTTGTTGCTATGTTTAACCAATGCTCAAATGTCCAAACTACCCTCTACTTTGGTATGCAGTTTTCTCCGTCACGACAATTTTGGTTGGTTGAGTGCAATGTTTGTATCCTTTGGCACTACAATACGTAACCTTTTTATGACTGCAAGACAATTCTGAATCTGAATGGTCATTGCTTAAATATAATTGGAACTTGGAACCTATAATTTTGACCAAGAATTCATGCTTTTACAAATTAAGCATTTCCCAAGTACTACTTTGAAAATTGAGTTGCCCACTTTCAGCAGTACAACAATTATTGCATGAACTAGTACAAAGGTTTGGGAAAAAAAAACTAGTACAAAGGAATCTTATTTTCATGTCCACTTTCTTTAAAGTTCAAAAAACAATGAAAAAAGTGATTCCAAATTTCATGAGTAAGTTTTTATTTACACCCTAAAAGTTTGTTGATAAGAGTGATAGTGATATTACGAATAATCGCTTATTCAGTTGATGTAAGTAAATCAACGGTTGACAGTCCCACACACGCGAGACAACTATTCCTAATATTATACTCTCCTTGTTACAAATAACACTCAATTCTGTCAAATCTTGTTAAGGCCGGCCAACATTTTTATGTGTTATCTTTAATTTGTGGTAAGCTACACATATCTCAAAAATTAAACCCATTCAACGAGCACTTACTAAGATGATGAGCAAAAACATTCTCATTTTTATAACAGGGGCAACCTATTCAAGCCTTCTAGGCGCATGACATTTGGAACACATTTCCAATCTAAATTAGAAAAGAAGAATATAAAGGGCAAAATTGTCAAAAGGGAATGAGAAAGCCATTTCTGTTGTTTTAAGGATAATAATAATGATACTTTCTAATGTTAATTAAATATTGGTTTTTGGTAGGTTTGACCAGTGCTAATTGGGCTCCATTCCTCTTTGAGAGACTCTCCATCTTTCCCTGTGTCTCTCCCCCAATTCTAATATTCCTGAACATCTTTTGTCTACTTTTCTCTCCCTCTCTAAAATCTCTCTCTCTCTCTCTCTCTCACTTCCCAACCTTTACCAATCTGCTTTCTTTGACCTGTCGTGCGCTTTTCTTCTCCAAATCGAAGCCATAGATTCCCGTCACACCATTTCCCTTTCTCAATCCCATCCCAAGCTGCATGAAAGCTGGTAATTTTTTTAATTTTTTTTGTATTTAATTGGTTACGTATTTTCATTTTATTGTTCTTCAAATTCAATGAAAGCTTGAAACTTTTCGGAATTTTCTGGGTATTTTTCTTTCTGGTTTAGATTTTCTGGAAAAATTCTGGGCACCTGATTTGTCTGTTGCTTATTTTGTTGGTTTGCTGCCGATTTTCTTATATTGTGTGACTGGTAGTTCCTCAGTGATCATCCAATTGTAATTTGTGGGTTTTCATTTATTATATTTTGTGAAATTTTGGGTTTTATGGATCTGGGCTTGGTATTTTTATGAAGTTGAGCGGGTGCTGATTAATGGATATTTTGTCAGTTTTTGAAAGGAGCAGAATTGATATGGGATTCGTATCTCGATTCTGCTGAGTTGAAATTGTGTAGCATAGTTGATTGGTAGAGAATATATGTAATGGCCAAGTTGGCATTTGGGAGATTTGGGAATTAAGTGATGTGATTCAAATTGCTGCTCATGACATGGATTTCTATGAGGATATGTTCTCTCTCATTTATCATTTTCCCAATTTTCCCTTTCCAAATTTTGGCAGTAGCATGTATCTGTTTCAGAACATTTCTGTATAATTGGAGGCTCTCAATAATTGTTGTTTTTATCCTTTTTGGTGGCTGGGCCACTGGGATTAACCATATCCTTTTATGAGAGGATGTATATTCCTTCTATTAGTCAATTAAAATGGCTTCTTTTGTTTCTTATCTGCCAATCCAAGTTTAACATGATTTGTGGACATAATTATTTTTTGTCATAGAGTTCCTCTTGGTTCATTGGTTTAGTTTTGGTATTCATAAAGTTCTTAACTTCTATAAGCTTTAAGTTTCGTGCACGTTGTTTCTCTTTCGCAGATAGATAGGCCACCTAGTACAGATTAAAGTTTTGAACATACTATGGGGTGCTTCACAGTTTTGAAGAGCAAGAAGAAAAAGTCTGAGCAGACTATATATATTAAACGTGTCCCTAACCATAAGGAGCAAACGCCAGCTACGTTGCCTGAACCCCAAGTACAGACCCGCACGCTACAGTCTGCACCCCCGAGTTTTAGGAACAGAGTGAAACCTGTTCAGCCGGTTAATAGCAGAGCCACCAACAATAGAACACGGGCATTATCTGCTCCATCGACCCTTGATGCAGCAGACCAAGAGGCTCTCTCTTCAGTTGAATATGAAGAACCAGAAGACTCAAAGTACCGGTCCGGAACGATAAAGGAACAGCTGTCCCCAATTCCCCAACCTCTTCCTCTCCCATCACCACAGGGTGCTGCTGCACTGAGGACTACAGGAAGTTTTAAGTCAGTGACTACTAGCGGCCCTCTCTATGCTTCTGGACCATTGCCACTGCCTCCTACAGGAGCACTGCCTGCTGGAACACTACCTACTGGAACACTACGGAACTTTTTATATGAAGAAATAGCATCAGCTTGTCACAATTTTTCTTCAGACCGATGCATGTCAGAAGGCCTTTCGTCTATTATATACAAGGCTTCCTTTGGAGATGATTCATCAAGTTCGAAAAAATTTGAAGCTACTGTTACTCGCCTTCACCCATCCACTCAGGTAACTTATAAACATTCATTTTATTAGGATGTGGATTACAGTTTTCTCATGTTTTCTGGTCCCTGATTGCCTTATAGTGGCTGATAATTGAACTTTAGAAAACTACTTCCGATTGTGGGTGAATATTGAGATTTTCATCCGTTTACAATGTATGAATGTACTCCTTAGCTGCTGTGCAGTGTTCATGGTGTAGCAAGAATAAATTATGTTACCATAGCATAGGCAATTGAGGACATATGTAGCATCTCATGTTTTTGCAGTTTTTGTTATTCAAATTTTACATCCTTTCTTCAAAGCAACTGTTTCACATTCATCTCCATTGATTTCTAAGCGCATGTTTGATTATATGTCCTGTGCTATAGAACAATGCAAACCTAATCATATTTAGCATTTTGCCTCTGCTTCTACACTTCAGATGGTTTGTGAAATAATCTCACTTTTTTTTTTATTTTTTAAATTTATAATGTTTAGGGTTTAAAGGAGTTCATAAATGAGATCAACACCCTTGCATCTTTGCAACATCCAAACCTTTGTAAATTGCTTGGTTTCCATGCACGTGAGGGTTCAGAACAAAAATTGTTGGTCTACGAGAGGCTCTTTCACGGAAGTTTGGACCGGCTTTTGTATGGAAGATCAGACAAGCCCCCAATAGACTGGAATACAAGAATGAAAATTGCTTTATGTGCTGCACAAGGTCTTACTTTCTTGCATGAAGAAGGGCCTTTCCAGGTAATCAGAGCATTCATGTGTTTATACATTGTGAAGTTTAAATTTCATGTTTTTCTTTATGCATCAGTTTTTACACGTTCACCAGTGTCAAACTGCTCATAATGTTTAGAACTTTTGAGCAGCTCAATTTCTAAATAATAATGTCATTGCATGTATCTGTATATTTATGTGATGATTGAATTTCCTTTCATATCTACAGGCAATGTACAATGAATTTTCAACTGCCAACATACAGATTGATAAAGATTTTAGTGCAAAGCTTTCAGGATATGGTTGCGTCAGCCATATTCCTGAGGCAGAGATCTCTAATAATTCCGTTGTAAGTAGAATGTTCCTTTTCAGATTAGTTCTAAGTCTTCAAATTTTGTATGTGGGCACTAATTTTATTTTGTGCTTTCGCTGTTCCCACAAACTTTCAATTTTAACATGATCTTTTAAATCTCTCAATTGAATCCCTTTCTTCTTATCATTGTCCAGGCAGTGGCAAATCTATCAGTAGAGACACTTGAAAGAGGAATGCTCACCCCAAAAAGCAATGTTTGGAGTTTCGGGATTGTGCTTCTTGAATTACTCACTGGTCGGAGGAATCTTGACAGCCGTCATCCCAAGGAAGAGAGGAATTTAGTTAAATGGAGCCGGCCTTTCCTAGCTGATGACTGTCGACTTTCACTAATCATGGATGCTCAGCTGAAAGGCCGCTTCCCAGCCAAAGCAGCTAGAGCTGTGGCAGACATTGCACAGAGATGCCTTCAGAAGGACCCATCAGAAAGACCCACAATGAGAACTGTTGTTGAGCATCTCAAGATCGTACAAGAAATGAAGTACTCAAGTAGGTTTCCTTTGCAAGAGCCAGCATTTGCTGGAAAACACATGTCAAGATCGCCCAGTCTTAACGGAATAGTAACCCCTGTGCCTCGGTTAAGTTTCTCTCCCTCGCCACCATCAAGAGCCCGTCCATCCATTTCACCTACAAGACGACCTGCCCTACCTATGTCTCTTCCTCCACGTGCTTGTTCCTCCACCCTCACTTTGGAGGAGCTAGGCCGGCAGCAAAGCCGGAAATCATCATCAGCTGTTCCTAGGGCTAGTGTTGAGGGATTTTGATTGTCTATAATGTGCTTCTTTTTTAATTTTTTTAATTTTTTTTTGTTGTGATTCAACACAATATATAGAAGATAAGATGTGGTTCCACCTTACCATCTCGCAAGATGGTCAAACAGAGAGGATGCCCTTTTGTAGATATAGTGCATGCCTGGCTTTCTGGGTTCATCTAGCTTCCGTTTACTCTACTGCGCAATTCAACCGGTTCAGTTTTTCTTTTTATGTACGTCAAACTTGTGTTTAGATAATATGTTTATAATGAATTAGGATATACTTACTTCCAAGCTTCGTCAAATATACTTTTTGTTATCCAATATGAAGGGATTTGAATTTTATATAGATTGCGTTGGGGAAGAGGATTTGGGAGATGTTTTAAGAGAGGGTTTTAGCAACAAATCTACACAGCAAATAATTTAGTTCCATAAATATTCACCCCAAATATTTTGATTTTTTAAACAGAGACCAATCACTTTATAATACAAGTTAATTTTATAATTTTTTCGCACATTCACACCCTCAGCTAAAGAAAAATATCCCAAACCAAGGAAAACAAACATAAAAGTCTATAATTATACAAGAAATAAGTTGATAATTTTTTTATATAAAAAGAAACAGGATTTTCATCATAGATGGTCATCTTGGCCTTGATCCGGCCTTTCTTCACCGCCACTTTCCTGTTCTTGACATTGATTCTCATTATGTTGGTCTTCACTCTCATTAGTGGCTTGTGGCGGCACATGTGAAGTTGAGCTTGTTGCCTGTTGCTCAGACATCAAGCTGGTAAGACCATTATGTTTTAAATATGTCTCAAGAGGAAGGCTTGCTACTTGAACAAGAGACATCATACTCACATGGTTTGGCCCTGCTTGCAGCTCTCCTTCTCGGCCGGGATGGCAATTCAAGTCTAATATTCCCTTCCCAGTTTCGGCCACTTTGCTTTGGCTCTTGGAATCTGATTCGTTTGCAGACCTGGCCTCATTGTCCGAAGGATCCACATGCGACGATACGTGCCTAGAAGTGCTGTCTACTTCTGCTTCATCCCTAGGGCCCCATGCATGCTGGTTTCTGTAGGCAATCTCTGCTTCTCGCTCCGATTGACGTTTCTTCTTGTTTATCATTAGGGTTTTAAAACGGCGTTTAACGGTATTGCACACATTGCATGTGCAGTTAGGCTTATGTTTGCCCTTCCCACTTGGGGGCTGGATGCACACAATGCATGAGCAGCCAGGACGATGCCTGGGATGTTTTGTTGTCGTAGCAACTGATGCAGTTCCTGGATCAGCCGCATTGTCTCCAAGGATTGCAGCATTGGCCAAAGCATCAAGGCCAGAAGATTCATGCTCCTGGGTTGGCCTATTGTCTGCCACCGTTCTCCTTTTCTTGAATTCTATAAAGCAAAAGATTAAGTTAATACAAATATTTCCTAAATGTATTTTTAAATCTACGAATGATTGCAATTCCACAGGAGTCAGGAGACTCAGGACCATAACAGATTAGCAAACTAAGCAAATCGAAACATTGCGTAAGTTGAGACACCTTGTGATAAAGCAAACTAAGCAGCAGATGTTATCTGGTCCTCAAACATTAAGAGAGACAAATAAGGTGGCAACATACCCTTACTCAGTCTGAGAAAACTTTCCAGTTCCCTTGGGGCTAATTCATCTGGTGCAGAGCACGAACGCCTGACAAGACAAAGTTAGAGACATGCGATACTTTTACAACAGGAACCTTCGTAGAAGAAACCTATTGCTAACCTGCTTTGATCCCAAGCATTGTCTGCACATGTCCACTTAGATGGAAGTAGAACATCAACTGGTAACCTTCGCCATTTAGAGCAACTATCACACTGTGCCCATTGCTCGTGTTCCCTAAAAAAGCAGAAATATTCAATTGTATCAGAACAAGACAAATTGCACGAAGACAAAGGAGACAGTTTGCTCTTTATACATTTCCACTAGACACGCATCTTTCTTAGACTAAAAAGAAAATACCATTTCAAATGGTGTATGGTTCCACAACAGTTGTACCAGTCATTCATGATTAACTTTACAAACTAAAATTATACAGAAGCAATACATACATATTAAATATAAAGCAAGTCTTACCCAGTTGACCGGACTATGAAAATACTCCTCTTTCCAAATACAGGAGGTTCCTAAATAACAGAAATTTAAGATTATTAGTGGTCACTTCCCTGACCAACAAAGTAATCTATAATTAGAAATAACTGCAAATATAAGCAAAAACAATACATTGCCTAGTGACCAGAAAATTGATGTTTAAGAAAAAATTTCAATGACATCACTCACTTCATATTCTTCAAATTCAAGATCTTCAATCATGATAGTGCTTGGCTTGGCAGCTGGTGGTGGACGAAGCAAATCCTGAGCCTCTTCCCAAGTAAGCTTCAGCTCTAAAGCATCTTGGCTATCGATGAGCAATCTCTTACTCTTGGACCCAATATTTCTAGTTCTTTTCCTCTCGGGAACGAGTAATGATGGCAGCAGCATGCCTTCCCTTGTCCTCCCTTCTTGCTTCTCAGATTTATGCCAGCTAATATCACCACTAGCTGTAGTCAAGTGTTTGGACAATGCATTTAGATGGGGATCCATGCTTCCCTTCAGTGACTGAAGAAGGCCAGGGTAACCACTTATTACAGGAAGGTTCTCAAAAACACCCGAAAAGAAAGTTTCACTTGAGTGAGCGCCATTGTGAATGGCAGTAAGATGGGTATCCTGTTTATTTTAATAATTTTCATATCAATAATACATTGTTCATTTTGCTAATATGAAAAATGAAAGAGGCTTTTACCTGCATTGCAACAGAATTTGATGCTTTCCGAAACCCCATAATAAGTTTTCCTTCAGGATCCATACGACTGAAAGTCACTGCAGCAAAATTAATAAAAAAGAACCACATAAGAAGCAATGTAAAAAATATTTCCACTGTGATTGCTAACTACCCTTCAAAAGAAAATGAGCTTTGACAAGAAACATGTTTCAGTGTTAACAAATACACCATAATCAAGGGTTTACGAACTCATGCCATGCCATGTAGTGTAGTCCATGGTCCAAAATGGCCTTCCAGTGGACTGGAAAAAAAAAACCAGGAATGCGCAAACACACACACACACACGCACACACACACACACACACACACACAGCCCCACCCAACAAACACATCTTTTGATAGTATGTCACTATATTATATACGGACTTAATAAATACGGTCGCTAAGAAGTACCAGTATCTCCAGCCTGCAACTGCATGGACTGTATGCAAGGGGTTACACCCTCCAAAACATACATCCTACTGTTATTATTAGGCCAAAATCTGAACTGAAACACCCATTCTTTTCCCTTCACGTCTTGAATCCGTAAAGGAAGCCCCTCAGGTTGAGAAATGGGAGGAAAATATGCCTGCATGGTGGTTCAGATTTGATTGAAACAAAATCTTGTAAAGAAAAATATAGTAATGAATACAATCAAGATGATGGAGATTACCGCAAATGTCAATGAAATGTTGAGTTTAATAAACAGAAGCATAAAAACAATAAAAAACTTACTTCAGCACACGCTTTAGGGAGTACCAAACGACCAATTCGACCAGCATCACTGGCACTTAGCATCTTCTCAAACAAAGGTACAATTGTGGAATTTGAACTTGAAGACATCAAAGTTAAGGAAATCACTGTTTGAGGTAATGGATAATTATTAAAAATAAGAATCTCCAAACAGTTTATGTATAGTTCGGTCAAGAAGTAATTAACATGAGAACAAAACAATTTCATGGATACTCTCCAGATATTTGCTGTAATTCCTGGTCTGTAATCCTGGGCCAATAGCGGGGAAGAAGCTGATTCCGCCCCCGTCCTTCGGCAGGTGGCCTTGCAACACGTGCATGTGAAGTAATTGTAGAATTTTCCTCCAAACCTGCACCAAGGGCCAATTTTGGGGGCTTTGGAAAAAGATTGCGAGACCTAGCTCCTGGTAGGAGCGGAGAGGATGTCTTACTGTGTTCCCTTTCATCAAACATGGCAGCAGGAACAGGATTTGCTTTTCCCAAAGGTGCACCAAGGGACATACTCAAATTTGTCTGCGGAAGTGAGTCATATATATCATTTATCCCTAAGTTTGCTTTGAAAACTTCTGCTTTCGGAGCTTCAGATGATCCATTGGATGCCAGATTAAAGTTTGATAAACATGTGCCTCCAATTTCCCCCACAGGAGGCGGAGTATCGGCATGTTTCATTTTCTGCAATAATCCATTTGCGTCATTGTTCTGAAGCTGAAGCAAGTTCCTAAACCCATTACAATCTTTATTATTTCCCAACTGAATAAGCTTCAATTTTTCAACATTAGTTCCATCCAATTGATTGTCTGTAGCAGTTGGTTGCAGCTCGCTGATTTTGGATATTCCAAGTCCATCAGGCTTTTCATCACTTAAAATCTGTGTGAATAAGTTTCACAATCATCATAAATAACTAAACTATAAGAGTACACGTCAGTATGCAGTATGATTCCACTATAGTCTTAAATGCAAGAAATAACCAACAGTAATGTGATGATAGTGAACATCACAAGAAATTGGTGATATTGACCAAATTCAGACCATGGTACTTGTTCTTTAATGCTTTCTATATTACTCCTTCTAGCAAGAAAGATGTACGAACGACATCTACCATCTTTTTGAGGTTAGGACAGCCATGCCTTAATAATCATTATAAATTCACAAAATTTACCAATACAAACTGATCTTACAGGTTGAGGTTCTGAACTTTTTGCACATTTTATACACTTCACACCACCACCATCAAGAAGATCAAGCAGAAACATGGAAGCAATGCATCCACAATGGAGACGCTGCAGAGAACAAATTCGATTAGGTGCAAATGATTAGAGTGGAAGAGCCAAAGTAAGGGGAGGAGAGGTCTGGAAACCAAACACAGAATCCTTTCTTTGTTAGATATGCTCACCTTGCCACATAGTATGCACTCCCTCCAACCAGATTCTTTTGAGTGGAAAATATCACAAAAAATTGATTGCTCATATGCAGACCTAGAGTCAATACAAATTTCATATCACAATACAAGTCATAAGTATTTCATATCATGAAGCCATTTCAAATTTATATATAGAATATTTGCAGCTACTAATAAACGACACCAATAAGTGATCCGCACCCATAAAAATCTAGATTTTCTCTTTCTATTGGCCAAGATCCCACAACCTCATGCGTGGATGCAATGAAATGCTTCAAAAGCT